TTTCAACTACAAAATTAAATCATTTTACTTTGTAATTTAATAATTTTATTACTCTGTTTGTGTGTGCTACTATTAGACTATTATATTCAAATTTTTTTCTAACGTGTTGCTATATAAATCATTTCTAAAAAAAATGATTGTTTTTTCTCCTGAATTAACAATTGATTTTTACAAATATAATCAAATTTTATAATAAACTCAATTGAGTAAATCTTTTTAACAACTTTGTTTTGATTGGTACATTTAGTTAAAGTAAATCATTAAAATTAATTAAGTTCTCAATATTTCAATTATAGAATCTTTTCAACAAACAACAAAAGTTCCTAGGAAATTATTACTATTACTTCTATTTAAGTTATCTATTACCATAAAAATGCAAAAAAATATTGAGCTTTTCTGATAAATTTACAATAAATAGTAATTATAAAACTTTCTGACTGCATATTGATCTTAACGATACAATTTTTTTAATTGTCATAAAATTTTCTATTTAATGATGTCAATGTCAAACTTACCAATTGAGCTAAAAGTTATGGTAAAATAAATTTTTTTTTTTACTATAAACATTTACAACAATCAACTTTAAACGATTAAAAAAATAGTTTAAATATGTCATTTTCCTTATTTTTAACATATTATTCATCAAATTAATATTAAATATTATATCAAATCAGTATTAATTTAAAACAATTTTTTTTGTTCTTAATTATTTTTTTTTATATGTAAAAACTATTTTTTAATAATATTAAAACTTAGAAGTTATAGAAAAAGTCTAATTGCACATTTTAAAACATCGCGAAAAGTTGATTTAGAATAGTATATTTTTGTTTCTGATGGAAGTTCCTTGTAGTCCAGTGTATAAAACTTATAACTTTGTTAATTGTTATAACTTTATCAAAAATGACCAAATCAGTATATTTTTTTTTATTTAGATGCATGTCTTTATCTATCATTTGGTTTTTTTTATAAATCTAACCCTTTACCTGCCCACAAGAGGGATTCAAAATATTAACTTTTTTTTTTTTTAGTTAAAGTAAATCATTAAAATTAATTCAGTTCTCGATATTTCAATAANAACTTTTTTTTTTTTAGTTAAAGTAAATCATTAAAATTAATTCAGTTCTGGATATTTCAATAGTAGAATCTTTTTAAATACCAAAAATTACTTAGAAATGATTACTATGATTTCTAGTTAAGTGTTCTATTACGATAAAAATGCAAAAAAATAATGAGTTTTTCTGATACAATATACTGTAAATAGTAATTAAAAAATTTCCTGACTGCATATTAATCTTAAAAATAACATTGTTTTAATTCTCATAAAATTTTCTATTTAATGATTCATTCTAGTCAACGAAGGAGTAATTTTGCAGAATAGCAGAAAAAATTCCCAACAAACTTTTTTTTTTTTTGTTTTAATTAGGCAATTGGTGGATTATTCCAAAAGCAACATCAACTCTTATTTCTTTAATTATATCATGATTAGTAGTTCTTTGATTTTAAAATATAATATTTGAATATATACTAATTATAATTATTAAATTTAGTATGAAATTGATATTTAATATTGTAATTTAAACGGAGAAATTATAAAAATAATAAAGAAGTTATATTTTGCTTTACTTTTACGTGTATAAAAATTTAAAGGGCTTGATACAATAATTTTCAATAAAAACTGTTTGTTACTATAAAAAAATGCACTGGACTACAAGGAACTTTCATCAGAAGCAAAAATATACTTTTCTAAATCAACTTTTCGCGTTGTTTTCAAATCTGCAAGTAGACTATTTCTATCACTTCTAATTTTTTATATTATTACTAATTATATATATAAAATAATAATTAAAAGAAAAAAAAATTTGTTTTCAAATTATTACTGATTTGATTTTTAATATGTTAAAAATAATCAGTCCAAATTTTCAATTTTAACCTATTTTTTTGGTTCTTTAAAGTTGATGAAAAATTTTTGATAAAGATTTATGAAAGTTTATAGTAAAATAAATTGAATATATTACCATAACTTTTAGCTCAATTACAAGTTTAAAATTGACATCTAGGCCAGTCAACAAAGGAAAAATTGCGGAAAAAATTTTGTTTTTTTAAAAGTTGAATTAAAATATGTATAATGACATACTAATAGTCCTCAAGATTGGAATTGAGCTTTTTTTTTAAATCCTCGCAAAAGTTCAAAAATATGAGCTTTCTTAATTTTCTCAAAAAAAAATATTTAACTTACAAAAAAAAGTTTCGCACAAAAGTTGTTTAAAAGACAATTATAAATAAAAATATAATCTTATATTTTTTCATTTAAACAAATATTTTTCGAGTTACATTACATTTAATATGAGTAATAAAATTTATATTCCATTTTTTTCATTTTACGGTTACTTTTTATCATGTTATACTTACATTAGACACAATGTTATAAATGCATATGTGTGTATGTGTGAGTTTATTTATTTATTGTATCATTAAAGTGTAGTGTATATTGAGATACAACCGATAGAGTAGGTAATTGATTTGACGCTATATTATTTAAACCCAACTAAACGCTAAATTGTACATTCCGAAATAACAATCATATTATGTCAATTGCCACCGGAATATCTGGTAATATTTTTCTTTTTCTTTGCCTTAATCCCAACTACTTGGGGTCGGGCACCCTTATCCTAAGATTCCACTTGACACGATCTCCCACATCTTCTACGCTCACATCAGCTGTCCTCAAATCGCATTCAATAGCATCCCTCCATCTCTTTTTTGGTCTTCCTCTATCTCTTCTTCCTTCAACATTCATTTCTATAACTGTTCTTACAGCTTTCGATTCTTCTTTCCTCATACCATGACTAAACAATCTAAGTCTATTTTCTGTCATCTTATCCACGATTGACGCAACACCTATACTTCCTCTTATATGCTCGTTCCTTATCCTATCTTCTCTAGTCACTCCACTCATCCAACTAAGCATTCTCATCTCTGCTACACTTATTCTCTGCTCTACTTTCTTATCAACCGCCCAACACTATTAACCATACATCATAGCTGGCCTCACAATTTCATACTAAATTTAAAAACTATAATTAGTATTTATTCATATATTATATTTTAAAATCAAAGAACTACTAATCAGGATATAATTAAAGAAATAAGAGTTCATGTTGCTTTTAAAATATTTCACCAATTTCTCTAAAGGAAACACTATCTACAGATTTGCATCGAAGCGTTTCTTATGATAGTGATTTTAATCACTGTCAGATATCATCTATACTTGTCCCATCTATGCCTCGTCCACACTGTGCCTCGACCCCACTGTGCTACCGTTTTTTTACTTTTTATTGTTGTGACTGCTGAGAATCCTTGTTCGCATAAGTACGATGTGGAGAATGGTAGTAAAATTTTTATTGCTTTTATTGATATTTCAGGAAATTCTGCTTGAGCATAAATCCAAAATTTGTTGAGAGCCATTCCTTTAAATTTGAACATTAATGTTCTATCATTTTTCAGTGAAACAAGATTGTCTTCTTCAGCGAATGTCAGACCAATGACCTCGTCAACTGCCACACTAAATGGGTTTCGCACCCAGTCATAAGTTTCAATATTTATGCTAGAAAAGTATTTTTTCATTTGGTCTTTTAGTAATATGATAGATTCGCTTATTAACGATATAAGAGTGGCGTCTACATCTCGCNTGCTTATTAACGATATGAGAGTGGCGTCTACATCTCGCTCTGCAGTTCGTGGGAACATAGTCAATTTTTTTTTTATCAACTTGAGTTTTCCACATAGTTAATTTTTCATGAAAAGCCATCATTTTGTCAGATGATGTTAGGATATTTTCGTTACGACTTTGCATAATTGTATTTAATTTATTCAANTTACGACCTTGCATACTTGTATTTAATTTATTCAAAAGTTCAAAAATATCAGTTAAAAAAGAAACTTTTGTCCACCACTTTTCATCTCCAAGAAAATCGTATTTCGATTCTTCTATTGTTAAAAATACAATTATTTCTTCTCTCAAATCATAAAAACGTGATAATACCCGGCCTATTGATAACCATCTTATTGCACTATGAAAAAGTAACTTTGATTTATCTGAATCCATACCTTCACAATTTTTTTCAAATAACCTCGACTTAAGTGAACTACTTTTAATAAAATTTATCACTTTCACAACTTGATCCAAAACTTCTCTTAAATCACCTACCAACGTTTTTTGGTAAAAATAATATGTTCATTTTTTTCCTTGGCAAAAGAAATAAAGCCTTTGACTGAGCCAGTCATCGCGGGAGCTCCGTCGGTACATATACAATAAACATAGGCGTTCATCGGGTGGGGGGCTTCCGGGGGTTTAGCACCCGCTCTAAAAATACAGAACATTATACAAACATATTTTACATAAAAATATTTTTTAAGTAGGCTAAATTATCATAAGCTCTCCTCAAATTATTTGACAAAGAAATTTGACTATTCCATGACCAATATCTAAATAAATATATTTTTGTTGTGAATTTACAATAATAATATGAACAATATATTTTAAAACGAAAATTGAGCAAAGTTTTAACTGATTAATACCAAAACAACAATTAATTCAAATGAAAACCAATGTAACTTAAACCTAAACTGTATAATAATCAGTGTTGAGAAGGAACTAGTTCCAAAAGGAACGGATTCCTGGAACGAGTTCTTTTTGAAGGAACGATGCTAGGAACTGCTTCCTTTTAAAATAAAGGAACGAGGAAAATGAACAAATTCCATTTTTTAAGGAACGTGAACGGAAATTACAGTTTCTAAAATTTTTTATAAACATGTTTTAGTGTAGTTTTCTTCGTATCTAGACATTAAAATATTATGGTATTTTTAGTTGACTTTTGACAATGGAAGTCCCCTATATACCCAGCCGAGATCGTAGGCTGTTTAAATGAATCAATTGATTATAGATAGAGTTATTATCACATGTAGGTATACAGTAAATATTTAATATATGTGTACATATATTAAATAATGCACCGAATATTATCGTCGTTTCTTGTTAACTAATTTATGTTAAAGGTTTTGGGTTTTCTGATTTATTATTTCTAACTTATATGTAGACAATAGACATTGGTCGCGTTGACACAAGTCGTTAGCATTTACTACCTGCTTATAAATATAATTTTCGAATACTTTTAGATAAGGAATACTACAAATTTGTTTTGTATTCGACTGCTGATGAAAATCATTGATGACCGTTATCATGATTTCATTGCCACAATTTTTTAAATAACTTATAAAAGGAACGAAGAGTGGAACGAGTTCTTATTTTGGAGGAACTGGATCTGGAACAAGTTCCTTCTTAATATAAAGAATTAGGATCTGGAACGAGTTCATATTTTAGAAAATGAACGGGGAACGGAACGAATTCCATTTAAAAAGGAACTTTCCCAACACTGATAATAATACCACAGACTATATAGTCTGTGATAATACCAACAGGTACACATTACATTTTGAATAAAAAACGACCGAACAACACGGTAATAAGCTGATAAGGCTTCTTAACAGGTGATAGCGCACAAGCACTACCAGCTGACTACACCTAACCAGTGCAGCTTTCACACTTGGCGCGAACACTAATGTAGTTTTTTTTCAGAAATTTATAATCGTAAATTGCTTAAATTGAGAGTATCTAAAATTAAAACTGAAATGTTAGAAATTTGGAAGTGTTTACCCCTCAATTTTTGACTTTGAGTTGTATTTTTCGATTGACCTACTCGAGACCTTACGGGATCAATTTCAACTTATTCTAAACCATTGAACTAAAAGGTACAGAGACCCAACAAGTCCGAACCATAATAATATTTTTATTAAAATTCCTTCAGTAATTACTAGCATTACTTCGTTAATGTTTATTGTTTATAACTTAAATCTATGTATAAATACTTGTTAAAAGTTATCATAATAATGGTAGTCAGCCCAAGAAGATATGTTCAAAATTTAATGCGAAAATTTTAACTAGTAAGTATAATAGGAAAATTAATATTTACTAGACAGCTAGTCAACCCATACTTCAAATTAATAGTGTAAGAGAATACAATTAAAACATAATAATAATTAAAATTACATTATTAATATTTTATTTTATTTATTTATAGAAATTTTGATTTTAAAACTACAATTTAGTTTAAAATAATTTTATATTACAAAATACTTAATAACATTTTATATAAAATAAAATTAGAATTAAAAAAATATATTATTATTAATAATATAAGGGACTTTTGTATATAGTATATATAGTTAGTTTCCAGGAGATGAACAATATAATCATTAAATTTTGTTACAAGTGGTTTGGATATTTTCAGATAAATGCTGTAATTTAACTTTCAAAGTTATTCAAATTTAATAAACAAATATTTTCTTTAGAATTTGACTTATTAAGTGTTGCCTTTTAATGAGTTCAAATAAA